TTGTTTTTGAATTAACAATCCAACCTGGCAGTACAGTTTCAAACCATTACTCAGGTTAAATTAATCACTCAAAATGTAAAAATATTGACTCATGAGACAATGTGCTAAGAGAGAGAGAGATGATACTCTTTAAATAGAAAACAATCAAAAATGGAAATCTTGTCTTTTACATTTTTCAAATGCATAATATCATTATGCAGGTCACACCTTTTTGCAAAATACTGCATAAAAAATTGTATTGTAACTTTTATCAGTTTTTGCAAGGCATTTTAAGTGAAATCCTTTTGGTTTTTCTCTCGCTGCTTGTATTGGTTCTAGCTGAGCTGGAGTTCATTTTCCCATAGCAGCCCTCACAGTGCTGTGCAGTTTGGTGGCACCTGGCACCTGTCAACCCACCACAGTGCTTCATGTTGTTGTACATCTGGCAACTTTACCTGTTCAAACTTCACTGACTGGTGAAAGTCTATGTTTAAGAATCCAAAAGTGGTTTTGTGGTTTTTTTTGGTGGATATCTTTTGAACCCATTCATATTTTGTCTTTGTTTATGCTTCAATAATTTATATCATCATGTATTTTTTGTGCCAACACTTGATCATGCACACAGAAAAATCTTTGAATTTCAGATTTGTTGACAATATATATCTTCTTGCTCAGTATTTACTAATTCCAGAAATGCAAATTTTTCACAGGAACATATTATATACAAAAAAATCTTTTTCTTCAAAAGATTTTCAGCTCCACAAAAGACAAGGCTATGAAGAAAAGAGCTCAGATTATGATAGTCATTATGTGAAAAGGAAGGGTGAGATCCCTCAGCCTCTCAATTAACAATAGTCAATGAGAATGTTATTGTTAAAAATTATTATTGCGATATTTAGACCAAATGTGGCATTCACAGCAAGAAATTTTATTTTTCTTATTCATTTTTAATAGAACTGAGATGTTCTGAATTGAGTGAATTATGAACAGTGAAGTCATGTAGCCCTTCCAAAGACACCTGAATAACACCTCGCATTAACATTTAGGAATTAGGAAGAATACTCTTGTGTGTAAATAAAACCTGAAATCCTACTCAGACATAAGGGATGTCTTACTTTACTGAGGTAACAGAATGTAGATGAGAGTTAAAAAGAATTTAACAGATGGCAAACATCATAATGGAGATTTTATTACCAGCTTTAAGTAGTTTTGGTCCCAGAATATGCCACCAGAACCAGATTTAACAATGAGAAAAGCAGCTATACTGAAGTGGGTGAAGGAGCAGAAAGAGGAGAAAGGACATTTGAGACTTAAGAATGCAGTATAATGTCAGGCAAGAGACATAGACTGTTTTATTTATATAGAGGATCACAACATAAATCCTTTTCCAAGGTATTTTACCTCTCCAGCATGATTTGAAAAAGAAAATAATAAGACATAGATTAAGAAGCCTGAGAAATAAAACATTTAGGAGACTTCCTTCTTAAAAGAGGATGAATATCCAGTGAGATTTAAAAAAAATAATAAAAGTGGGAGACAAAGTTTGCCCATATATATCTTAAGCACAAAGATATCCTTGATATTTCTGCATATTTGAGCCCTGAGATCAGGGAGATCACTGGGACAGCTCTGGCTGCAGTATAGAAACATGTGTGTTGCATGTTAAAATGAGCAAAGACAAACAAGTGGTAGAGCACTTTACAATGAATCAGTGGTCTTGCTAGAAGTATTATGAGAATTTTGATAGATGGTATTGAGAACCTCAGTGGAGTGATATTGGGATTAGCCCCTCCTCACAGAGCTATTTGAAAACAGATTCAAATCAATATGTAGGTGATAAGTATTTGTTGTTATTACTGCTGCATTCTGCAGGGGGTTTCAAAGAGGTAATTCATTGTGACGCATGAAATAGTCCTGTGGGAGCTCCCAGGTTAGAGGAGAATAAAACTAGCAAATGAAGTGTCAAGACTTTATACTACTGTTTATTTTATACATTTAAAGTACACTATCCTTTCTAGTACCATTTCTTCAAATAACTGCACGATTTACTGTATTTTAAAAGTACTTTTGAAAGAGCAAACCAGTCAGCACAATTGTAGCACTTTGAAGCATTAAATATAATGTAATGATTGGACTGTTTGATAGGAAAAGCTAGGTTTTTTCAAAATATAACACATTTTAAGCATTTTTGTAATGCAAGGCTATCATTCTGTATTACAAATACCAGATCTTCACTGGCCTTCTAAAGTCCAAAGGCTGTCACCACACATTTGTCAGTCTTCAGCACCAAATGAAAGAAATTCTTACATCTCTAGCACTGAATGTGGAAACAAGTAATCTTTCACTTCACAAGCTACGTGTACACATAAAATTGGTACAAGTTTGTTTGGCAAAAGTATATCACCTCTCTTCCTCTCTGTTCCTTCTGGGTCTGAGTATCAGACACGTCCAAAAGGCAATTATATGGCATTAAAAAAAAGGTGAATGTGTCTTTATACTTTACTTTTATACACAGCAATGTAATAAAAGGGGTGGTTCTGTATCATACCTTAATAGCTTATTAAGATCATTGATCTGTTGCTCACAAGATTATCTCCTTGGTGAAAATGTCTGCAGAAGCTACCAAAAAGGAAGCCTGGGCTATGGCTAGTACCCCTAAACTCAACTATGGAAAAAAATATGTAGCAATCCCCATTTCTTTCCTGGCTGGTTATGAGAGAAAGCAAAGGTGTCCAGAAGTAAAAGAATACAAAAGGTTTTCTTGATAAGGAAAAATAATACTAACGCTATGACTCCATAGAGAAGCTAATGCTGAGGATCAAACATACTGTTTCAATTTGTAGGCTTGCCTGAAATTCAGACAAACTTTTCAAGTAGTTGTAAGCAATATCATCATAGTGAATCGAACTCTTCAGTTCAAAAGCAAGGAGTTTAAAATATTACTTAGCTTTTAATTGATACCAGTCACCCAAAGCTAAGAAAATTACACAAAATTATATATGTTGCATAAATATATGTAAAATATTAAAAATATATGCCTAAATTCCAATTATGTTTACATTTTTTCCACTCTAGTTCCTCACATAAAATTTTAAATCTTGAAAAGAAAATTTTGTTTTCTTACTAAAATATATTGGTTTCCACTTTAAATCTAACTTTAAATTCCCAAAGTCCTACTCATATGTCACAGTGATGCAAAAGAAAAATTTTTCAAACACCTGTTCCATTTATCTTAAACATACATTTTAACATATACTTAAAGACACAAGTTATTTCTGAAAAAAAAAATCTTCATCTATATTGTAATAAAATTCTACAAAATGGAATATTTTAATTGTTCTATTGGACAGCCCATATCTGAGCCCCAGAACAAAGTAGGACTCTTTCTGGTACACAGTAAAGACAGCTTTTAAGTTGAATTCAAAAAAGGAAATGCATGCCAGCATAAATCCATAAAATCGCAACAGTACATGGAAGATACTAGTAGCCCAAAATTTATGCACAAGTCAAAATATCGAACCGTATGGATCCATATTTTTGTCCTATAATATCTTAGAAAAAGTTCAAATGAAAGAGAATTACATGCAAATTTCACTATGTCTAGCACACAGCTTATATTTCTAGCAATTTAGAAGATGTAGTATAAAGAGGATATGAAGGCTAATTATAATTTTGACATTTTGAAAAGATTGCACTAAATATATCAATATTAAGAAAATTCTAATGTGCTAGAAGAGAGTGAAATGAAATATACTGTTCTTGAAATCCTTTTGTCATTTAATACTTTCTTAATAGCTCTAGTCACATTCCAAGACTATTTTACGGTACTTCAATACCACAGTGAGTCATTATCAAATAGATATAAGATATATACAGTATTACAAAGAACATCTGGTTTTAAATATTTCAACTCCTAACTTCTTTCTCCAAAGTTAAATCTCCAAGGGCATGCTAAGGAAGTAAGTGTCCAAAGTTTTTTGGATATTGCTCAAAATCCCATCTAGACTTCTAGCAGGACTTGAAAATGTATAGATTAAGTGTCAGTGCAAGAGGATCTTAGGTTGATTCTAAACTGAATTGTTAAAGCATGCCCCAGAATGTTCTGTCGCATTTTTCCAGCAGTTCAGAAAGAAATGGGAAACTGCATGTTCTCTACAGACACATTTTTTAATTCCCTCTTTACTGTCAAGTCAAAAAAGACCTGGGGTTCACGTCTAAGCCTGAAAGCATGCAACACCCTCAAATTCAGTGAATGTAGATAATGCAAAATTCAGAAAAAAACATTCAAAATAAAGAAATGGAGTTTAGATTAAAAAATTCATCTATTGCCACCATCTCTGCCTATATTGCTAAAATGGGAAGAGAAATAAGATATGCTGAAAAATGTCCTGATTCAGAGAAGTAGTAACTTACTTTGCTTAAGATTGGAGTTCTATGCCTATCAAGTGCATAGCCACAGGATTTTTAATGAAAATTATTACAAATGTGTTTCAGAGAATAAAGAAAACAAAAATACAATGCAACCAAATCAAACCCCAAATTACATAAAAACAAGACTGTAAGAAAAGTGGAAAGATGCATAAGAAACAGCAGTGGCATTATTGTTGAGTGCTTTAGTACATTGGTTCCAATAGTTTTCCACTAAATGAAGCTACCTTTACTAAACCTCATGGTTTACTACAGTTCCATCAAAAATTAGGACAGTTTCTCTTTTTCACTGCAAGAATCTTATGTTAATGTAAGAACTCAGAGGTACATGCGACTTTACATCTATTATTTGACAAAAGTACTGTGTTAAGTCTATATTATGCCAAGTGTATTTTAACATGTGTTATAAAACTGATACTCATTGATACCATGCTCACAGAAATCCTATCATTTCAGGCCTATTCCTGTAAACCTTGAAGCACTACACAGGTGACTTGTCACATCTTTTCCGAGATAATTCAGTGGCATGTATTTTTGTAAAGCATAACAATTCACTCTTTAAATGCATGAAGAAAACAGAATCATGGACTTACGGTCTGTAATTTTCAGGACTCTTTTGAATTCTCCACTTCCAGATCCTCCACAGCCATCTTCATCATCACAATCACCACTGATTTGTTCATCTACACCTCCACCACTGCCTGTTTGTTGGAGATCCCATTTGTCATATTTTGGAAATGATTTGCCCTGCAGCAGCTGAAGACAAGTTATAGTATGCAAGTTAGTAGTACATATGGAGAGCTTCAGAGAGTACCCAAAATTTCATATATGTCCCTATTAATTGCCTGATTTGAAAAGGAAATTTCAGGATCCACGGAATGAGAATTCTGATTTTTTTTTTTCTATTTTTTTCAACTCTGACTTACAGATAGATTTAAAAGAGTGGTATTTGGAGATGTATAGTTTAAATTAAAAACCCACAAAACGTCTTTATCACTATATAAGAAAATCAGGCACCAATTTCTTGCCCCGAGGCCAAGTGGAATGGTTAAGTCCATAGAATCATAGAAAAGTTTGAGTGGGAAGACACCTTTAAAGGCCATCTAGTCCTAATTCCCCTGCAATGAGCACGGACATCTTCAACTAGATCAGGTTGCTCAGAGCCTCAACCCAATCTGATTTTGAGTATTTCCATGTCTGGGCCATCTACCACTTTCCTGGGAAACTTGTTCCAGCATCTCACTACTCTCATAACAAAAACTATATGTGGTCAAAATCAAACCTCCTTCAGTTTAAAACCTTGGCCCTTATTTCTGCCACAACAGACCCCACTAAAATGTTTGTTGCCCCTACCTTCTAGGCCTACTTAGTCCAGACAGTCTCTGTGCTACTTAACAGCTGGTCCTGCATATTTTAGAGACCCATGGGGTGTCTACAGAGGCTTAAGATACATTTATTGTTTAACGTGAATTTCCCATATTTGAAATATCTGTAATAGTATGAGAGCTGTGTTGCAGCTTTATATTGGTTAATACAAAACACACTTGTCTGCTCTGATTGTGTCATACAGAAATGTGGTAGAAGCTGAAGAAAACAAAATGTGTTGGGATGATCTCAAATGCTTGACCAAGTAACAGAAGACCAAACTAGTACATTCAGAGGCAGGGCTAGCATGGAGAGAACTATTTTCAAAGGACATCCAGGCATTACTTGGGTAGAACTAATAAGAGTGAGGTAAAATAAAACAAAGGGATAGCTGCTACTGGCCTAAGCAGTGTAGATGATGTGGTTCCAGTAAATAAGATTGTTTTCTGTCTCCTTTTTATTTCTCACTATTGAGATGGCCAGTGATATCTGCATGGTTTATAAGAAAACAGTACAGATCTGTTTAAAACATTTCTCCACTCTGTTGAGCAGTGCTGAGCAGTCATCTGAATAATGTTAATCTCTCTCATTTATCATAAGAACAAGTGCTGTCATACAGTTTTTAAATACTAGGTGGTACAACTGTCATATACACACAGACAATGTGCCCTCTTCCCCATTCAGATTCAGTTCAATTTACCTGTCAGATAAATATAAACATCATAACCTATAAAATCCCAGGTTCTTACAAATGTTAATAATTCTTCTAACCTCATCTCATCCAAAATGCCAGTTTGTACAGGTTTGTGCATTACTCATGCTTCAATCTAGGAAGACTTCTTTACACTGGCCAAAACCTCACTGTCTCAGATTCTTTAATTCAATAATCAGATAGTACTTTCTCCTTAAAGAAGATACTAATTAGTAGAAACAGACTCAGTTGTTTTATACCTTCAAAAATGTGTTTGCTTTGTTGTTTAACAAAATACTAGGTTCCTATATTCAACCTATATACTGAGTTTATTTTCAGATTATGTAGTCACTTTCCAGACGAGGATCTCTTAAGTGCTGTACAGTGCCCAACAAAAAATATTTTAATCACTACTGCAACAAGATCATTCAGATAAATCTCAATGCTTCCATAAAATCCACTTGCTCCTCTGTGTAAGAACAGGAGAATGCCACTCACCACTGAATTAGCAGAGCCAATTTATGCAGCACTTTTAATTCAAAAATTTTATTAGACATTTATATGCTACCTGAAAGACAAATTACCTAGCTAAGAGGAAAAAAAAGCTCCTTGGTACTGCTGCTCTACTCCCTGCTCATTGTGTAATCCATGCCATACTTCTACAAAATAGTATTTATTGAAACAAAACACAGACTGTTTAATGCACTACACTCAGTTAAAGAGCACACATCTTTTTCACCCCAGTTCATATTGTGACACATTCCCAGGGCCAGAGGTATGATAAGGTACTTTTTAGCCCTGAGATCTGTGATATAAACATGGGCAGGAACTTCCAGCAAGACAGTTTTTCAAACAAAATGTATTGCCAAATTTTCTACAATATGCCATATACATATATATCATATATACAATATATATCTGGTGTGTGTATATACATATATATATATATATATATACACACCTATCACTGTGTGTGTGTGTTTATATATGTACATATATACACACATATATTTTTTCAGCCAGAGAACATGCATCCTTCTCGGTATCTATATCTCAGTCTTAGAAATATATTGGCTTAATAAGGTTTCATATTTTGTTGCTTTTTTAAATTTCAGCACAATTTCGTTATTTCTCTTTCCTCTCTTTTTCTTCCTTTATTTTATTATTATGCATTATTGACTTATGACTAGAAACCTAAAAATACAGATGATTCCACTTAATTGCTTTAAAGGTAGGTTCAGTACAGAAAAATACTCCAACTTTTTTCAAATTTTTCCCTGTGCTTGAAATAGCAGAGATTAAATAATGATTAAGCTCATTTGTTATTTGGACTTTGTTATTCTCAATTCTGTCTCCTTAATTGTACAAGAAGAAATATTGTCTCCATATAAGTTCACAAGTCTCAGTGCTGGTTCTCTACTAAGCAAGACTTGGATCTAATATAAATTCTTTATTAAACAGAAATCCATGTCATGCTTCAAAGCTAAATTGAGTCGCATTATAAATAAAGATAAAAGTTGTTTAAAAGAATTGTTCTCTTTTGCTGCACTTTTTATAAAGCTATTCTTTAAGAGGAAAATAGTACATGTTACAACTGGAAAATTGTCTTGTATATACTTACTGGGTCTTCCAGCTGAATAAGAAGGGTTACTAGCTGTATACTATCTGTAAAAAAAGTACAGTGACTGTTTTCCTGCTGTGTTGTAGTGTAAAATTGTCTCTTTTCTTTTTATTTTGTCTAAAGGTTATTCCATTCTATCAAATAGAAACCCCAAACCCTATGAGTTTAATCACACATTATTGTCTTTCAATTTCAATGAAGGAGGCAGTAAATATTGTTGGCAACCGTGTTTATTTTGAATGACTTATGCAAGGGATAGTTCACCACTGTTCTGAGACTGCAGTAGATACACCAATATTCCAGATTTGCTCTTTCTCAATGTTGATGGAAGTTTATTGAAGGAAGACTTTGTTATCAAAAGCATGCCCTCTGCTAGTGGCATTTGATTTTCCCAGAAAATTTGGGCACCGCTACTATGGTATATGTGCATGGGGGAATGATTTGGCCGTAGATCAACAGAAAGCTCCTTGGGAGTCTTCAGCTTCATCTTCCCTACACAGCTTTGGAAAATTTGGCCTCCCCCTTAGATCATTTAGTGCTCAATTGCCAAAATATCTCTCAGGACTTGCACTGATGGCTTAGTGGAATGCTTTCTTTGACCCAAAACAATTCTGAACAAGGTTATAATATCAAAAAGTACCATCAATAAATGTTGTGACATTTCACATTTTAGAATGGAAATATTTGCATTACAGAAGTTACATTGTTGTATTAAAGTACTTGCAGGGTTCTGTAAATATATGACTCTGCTCTGTAACATTTCAGTAAGAAGATGAACTGCTTGCAGCAGGTACAGAGGCACCTTATGACGATTCTTAAAGCTTCTCAACAAATCTCAGAGTCTAAGCATAATTAGGAAAATTATCACTAATTATGTATGATTATTGTACAATCCTATAGGGCCTTGTAATCTGTCAAGATTATTTGAGACTTTTATTGCTGTTCTGGAAAGCAAAATGAAAAACAAAGTGGAAATGACAAATCTTTTATTTCCATGAGAACTGGAGAACTACTAAATAACAAAAAGTAGTGACAAACTAGGAAAATCTCATCTGGCAAGTGAGGCAATTGAGTGAATTTTAAAACACATACTATAATAAAATACAGACAAATGTAAATTTGCAAGTCTAAATATTGTATTACATGCATATTAAAAGACAAAATATTCTGTTTCGTAAATTAATTGTGGGTGTCCTGTGTAGCCAGCAGAATATGAATTACCCAGAGCAGTGTTCTAGCCAAAGATTTTAATGGGATATCTTTGGGGACAGAAATATGAATACTAAGTCAGATTAGGGGTATTATATTACTCCTAAATCCCATTCTCATTGTCTTTGTTCAGAAAGAATGGCCCAGAAGTGAATCCCATTACATTGATTAAAATGGAACCAAAAATCCTTTTGTTTTAGCCACAGAGCTCATCCTTTAGTACACTCAAAAAACCCTTGATCTCAAGATTTAACCAGCCTTTTAAGCCTTGTAAGTGCCTATATGGCAAATACAGATTTAACAGATTTGGCAGGCCAAAGCATATGAAAATAGCAAATAAATATTTTTTTAAAAAATTGAAACATTCAAAGTGAATTTAAAAACATCTATGCTACGAGAATCATACATTTAAAAACATTCAGGTTGGTCTACATAAAAATAATTTTTCAATAATAAATTCAATAATTATCAACAGCTGGGGTAAGGGGTTTTTTTTTTGTTTGGTTTGGGTGTTTTGGGTTTGGTTTTTTTGGGTTTGTTTTTTTTTTGGATTTTTTTCTTCTTTTTTTTGTTTGTTTGTTTTTTTTTTTTTGGTTTTTTTCTTCTTTTTTTTGTTTGTTTGGTTTGGGTGTTTTGGGTTTGGTTTTTTTGGGTTTAGTTTTTTTTTGATTTTTTTCTTCTTTTTTTTGTTTGTTTGTTTTTTTTTTTTTTGTTTTTTTTTTTTTGGTTTTTTTCCTGGTTCAAATAGGTTTTAGTCTTAAAGCATTAATTAATTCAGAAGTTCAAGGACATGGTGTGTATGAGGTTAAAGTAAAAAGGTAAAGTGGTCCCTTCTGCCTCTCAAAAATGTATCAATTCATATAAGTAAAT